CTTACATCATATCCCCAACATCTTCTCACCATGCTTTTTATCGTGTCTTTAACTAGAAAATGACCCTATCAGAAATATTTCATATGTTTCAACAAATGGCCTTGACCTCTCTTGATAATATCTCGAGTATCTCTTTATCCAACATGAATCCTATCAAGACTGAAGCTGCATGGATTAACTTAAGATGAGTAATGGATGTCAATTCTGATATCATGCAAACCTTCAATTTTCAAGAAGTTGAAAGGAAAAATAAGGAACTTCTTGAAACCTTATCAAAACCTCCTTTGTGTCTGCCTGCTCCAGAACCTACAAGACAAGTGGTTCTTGGCTTAGAATATGTGCGCCCTTCCAATACCTCTGATATTGTTTTAGTGACTGCTGAAAACCAAGCCTCATGCTCTGGTGTGAATCCTGCTCTGGATGTTGAAAAGGAAAATTATTGGATAAAGGAAACCTTGGAGAAGATGCAAGAATCAAATCAAAATTTTCAAGAGCGTCAAGAACGATAGGAGGAAACAAGTCTAGCTCAAGCAACTTCCTTCAATCAGGTGACTGAGATGTTGAAGCTGCTGATGGAAAAGGTTAACTAGGAGTCTCAGGATTAGGCCTTTGTCTTAGAACTTAAGATTTATGTTTCTTCTATTTCTAAAACAATTGCATCTTTTAAACTCTTGTTTTAATGAAGTTTTAACTGTTTATTAGTTATCTTCAAAGTTTATTTTTCTATCTCTCTATTACATTTTTTATTTTTGACAAAGGGGGAGAAAGTAAAATAATTTTGATAATATTTATTCTCAGAATCTTAAACTGAAACATATATAATGTTGTTGCTACTAACTGTTTGCTTGATGTTTCATTCCAGGAACTTTGAATAAGTTCACTGAGTATTTTAAGACAGGTTGAATATGAAGATCCTACTGACTAAAGTTGAGAACCTTATGGATGAAATCAACTATGATTTCATATAATAAGTTGTACACTTTGTGAATATATGTATATTCAAACAGATGTACCAAACACAATTCAGAAGTTATAAACTTACTGAAAGTAAGGTAATCTTGCTTGATATCATATTGTTCATAAATTGTGAACTTTTTGAAAGTATGGAATTCAGACTTAATGCCTCAAAAATGTCCTCTCCTAAAAGGAAGTCAAGTCAACATTCTGATGCATGCTCAGATACACAGATGCCACTCAAAAGATGTGCTCTGATACGTGTGCTTCTGCAACGTGTACTTCTGCAACGTGTACTTCTGCAACGTATGTTCAGTTCAGAAGTTATGAATTGTCTGAAAGTGTGATATATTGGAAAATATCATGTCAAACACTGATGCTTAAGAATTAGTGAACTTCTCCAAAAGTATAGTGTTTTGGTTGTGATATTAGAATCATGAAATAGAAGTGCTGATACATGATGCATGCCATTATTCAATCAGGCTCAAAATCAAGTTTTGATTCTTCATCAATGTCTGATAGTAACCAGGTTCTAAGATGAAGACCAGGTATTCTAGTCAGATTCTGATGAGTTGTTATAGGGAAGTGTTCCTTCTCTATTTCTATGTTCTGAAAGCTCAAAAATTATTTTGGGAGTCTTGGGCTCAGGGGGAGACTCTGAACAAGCATAAATGAAATTTTGGGATTAACATATTCAGGGGGAACTGTGAGCTTAACTTTGAATTTGTCGATTACGGTGATTACCCTGTATAAATTGTTCTATCAAATAATTGGTTTTGTCATCATCAAAAAGGGGGATATTGTAATAACAAGAAGTGTTTATACATTGGGCCTTAAGACTTTGATGATAACTTTACACGGTATCATAAAGAACAGTTGTATATGCTAATGATTTCGTTCTAGTGTGTAGTTGCTGCTGTAATGTTCTAAATCGGGTATCAAGGCGTGTGACGTCATCAGGCTCTAAACATAAACACTCATGGAAGAAAACATTTGGTTACGTGTTACAGTTAAGGTCAAGATTCTAGAATTTGTATTATGCAACAGATCTTAGGAACATTAGTACAAGAGGTTTTGATCGTGACTTTGTGGTTAAGCTTTGGAGGCCTTCTAAAGCTTTGCTTCTGTCTGTTCCAAGTTCTGAAGATTATGAAGACAAGATTCTGCTAATCTGAAGAAAAACAAGTTCTTACAACCAAGTGCTGAAGACTCTGAAGACAATGTTCTGATAGAACAAGTTCTGAAGACTCCAAGACTTAGGTTCTAAGACTTAAGAGTGATTCTTCTACAACAAACTTCAAACATTAAAATTATCTGAAGCCTCTAAAGATTATAAGAATTTTAAAATGGTTAACGTGTGATAGTGTACAAAAGGTACAAAAAATGCTATGTGACCTCTACCCTTTAGAGTGACGTAAGAACAGTCCTTTCGTACTGTATTGTCAACCACTCACATTATGACCGTTGAGAATAAACAAATATTTTCCATATTATCTTTCTACCCTTAATGGATCTATGTCTACAAGCTAAGTATAAAAACATCTATTGAAGATAAGGTTAAAGTTAAACGCTATAAAGTGACAGACAATGAATAATATCACTCTGTACTGTCCAAACTCTTACACCTTATTCTATCTGTTGGGAACTAACCTTTGATGCAGGAAATGATTTTTTAATCCTTACAAAGTCTCCCTCTCAAGGCTATAAAAGAAGATCAAATATTTGAAGTAAAGTGCTCTTGTCCATCGAGCTGAAAAGTCGTGAATGCTGAAGCTGTCAAAGCTGCAATGCTAAACATGCTGAAGACCACTACACAAAAATGAGAGAAAATAAAGAAAGATAAAGAAGAAGAAATCTAGAAGATGCTACACAAACTATTATCATATACATCTTGGTAGATCTCAGAAGAAGCAAGAAGTTATTGTTCATGAGTTGCTCAACAAGAAGAAGATGAAGAAAAATACTACAAGATGCTACCCAACTTCTGATCAAATACATCTTGATAGAACATTGTAATTTACACAAGAGTTGTTGCTGATATTGTGTTATAATTCTAATATCTTCATATAAATTGTTTTAACACAAGAGTTGTTGCTCAAAACTTTGTTAACCAATATGTGCTTAATCACTTGTGTAATTTGCTTAGAAGAAGCAATCATGTAAACACAAAACCTTATCAACTGTTGTTGATTGATTCCTTGAGTGACCAAGTGAAGGTCTGGTCTCAAGAAGACAGTGGTTGCAGGTCATTGTAGAAGATCCTAATATGAGATCTTAAGTGATCCGATTATGTTGGATTAATGATTGTTATATCCGTTAAATCAGATCACTGAACATATCATTGAAAGGTTCCTTGAGCGACTGAGTGAAGGTCTAATCTCGAGAAGACAGTGGCTGCTGGTCATTGTGGAAAACCCTGATAGGAGATCTTAAGTGATCTGATTATATTGGGTCAATGAACGTTATATTTGTTAAGTTGGATCACTGAATGTATCATTGTCTGTTAGTCACCGGCGGTTGCCCGTGCATTTATAATCAGTTTGGTTATAGTGGATTAAGTCATTGTTAAAGGCAAATCACCTTGAGGGATGAACTGGATTAACCTTGTTAAGGTGAACCTGGATAAATCACTTATGTTCTTTATTCTTCATTGTCTTTATAACTTTTATCATTTGAGTGATTAGAATTTTTAAAGAGGAATATTTTCTATAAACCCAATTCAAATTTCTAATTTTTTGTATTTTTTCTACTTTCATAATAAACTCTAATCTAAATCTTATAAGATTGAGTTAATAGCTACTTGAGTTTTTATATTATTATTATTTTAAATTTTTATTTGTATCCAATAAACATTTGTTCTTTTTAACCTTTTATATTTGTAATTTGAAGATTATCTTTAATATTATTATTTTGTCCTTAAAAAAAACTTTCACAAAGCGCAAAGTGTTACAAAATATTATACCATAATAATATAATCACTCAATAAATAATAATACTAATAAAAGAATTAAGGCTATATTTATATAGTAAAATGAATGAAGTGGAATGGGGTGAAATAAAATGGAATAGAATTGAGTGGAATAAAATGAAATAAAGATGTAATTTTATTTTTGTGTATTTATGATGGAATAGAAAGATTTTGTCATTCCGTTTAAAGTAGAAGGTATAAAAAATTATGGAAATTTCATCTGGTTCTACTCAATTGCATTTGTTTTTAATCAATTCAAACAATAGAACATAAATTTATACTATTCTATTCCACTCTTTTTCATCAATTTAAACATACTCTAAGAGTGTATTTGGTATGAGAGAGATAGAGAAGAGAGAAGAATAGGAGTAGTGTGATACTTCTTTTGTTTGGAACACCAAAGAAATAGCAGAAAAAGACTAAATCCATGCGGGTCCAAAAATTTGAGTTTCTACGTTTGTATCCTTCATTCTTTGTTTAACCCAATAAGACTTGTCTTTTTCTGACGGTGAAAACATTGATAGTAATAAGTTGGATTTCCTTTTTATCAATTTAAATACTTAGGTTTAAATGGATAAATAGATGTGTTGAGTGAGTTAATTAACTAAATTTACTAAAAATTAAACAATAGTGTAATAATATTAATAATATTTATGAATTTATATTTGTTAAATAATTTTGTTAAAATATACTTTTAGAAAAATGAAATAATTAAATGAATTGTGTAGAAAAAAACTGAAGGTAATAAGTTGTGTAAGGAAATGATATGACTGTAGCTGTAAGCATTTCGTACTCACTGATCTTGCAAGAAAGAGTTGATGAGTAACAGGTACTCTACCACTTCACTCTCCAGACTTCACACCTTCAGTCACACACTTCTCTCTCTCTCTCTCCCAATCTCTTCAAATCCCACTTTTTATGTCCTAACACATTGCCCTATCCAACCAAACACAAGTCATCATCATCATCCATAACATTCAAACTCTCTCGATACTGTTCCTGTCCTTGTCCTTGTCCATCTACTTCCAACAAAATTAACATAAATATCAAATTCATCAAACTCTTTCTTGTAGGAACCATGGAAGAGGTGTGGAAAGACATAAACATGTCTTCATTGAATGAACAAAACACACGACGACCCATGATTATGAGTACTCGTGAATCCTCCACCTTTGGTGGTGTTATCCTTCAAGACTTTCTCACTCGACCAAAAAGCATTGATCATCATTACTCTTCTAATAACTCAACTTCTTCTGTTGCTTCAGATCAAAATCCTTCTTTTTATTGCCCTAATACTCTTTCAACTGCCCCACCACCACTTGTCACTGCTCTCAGTTTAAACTCTCGTCCTAATCATTTTCCTTTCGACCCTCGTATCAGACACAACAATGATAACAATTCTCAGTTACTACTTCAACAACAACACCAACAAAGAAATATTACTGCTCCAAAGGCTTCTTTTGTCGTCAATCCCTCACCATTTGATCCAAACGTCGGTGTTGTATCTAATGTTTTCTCTTGTTTTGGAAAGAGATTTGGTGAACCACCTGATGTTAGTCCTGGTGAAAGGAGAAACAAGAGAATGATCAAGAATCGTGAATCTGCTGCACGTTCACGAGCTAGAAAACAGGAAAAGATTCCCTCTAACAAATGTAGTTTTTTTTCTTGTTTAAATGTTGATATCTTGTCTCAATTTTTATTTTGTTATTTCAGGCTTACACGAACGAACTGGAGCAAAAAGTTGATTTTTTGATGGAAGAGAATGCAAAACTCAAAAGACAACAACAAGAGGTACATGATTAATGTCACAATGCATTGTCTTTGTTTTTTTTTTCTTCTTTTTCTTCTTTGTATACCATGCTTTCATATTGTACTATAGAAGAATTAGTTGATTAATTTTAGAACATGTTTGTGACAATGTGAATGCAGTTATGGGAAGCAGCAGCAAGTAGTGCACCAAAGAAGAATAGCTTACATCGAACATTAACAGCTCCATTTTAAGAACAAGTTGTAGTATCTAACTAATTGTGGTGTAAACACAATGTTACCCTTTTGAGTGTAGTGTACCATGATGTAATTGTAATCGTGGTTGTGAATCTTTCCACGTTTTAGTTACAAGTTATTTTGAGGAAAACACGCAGGATAGTGGAATGTATGAAAGAAGAATGTGCTTTTACCATTGCCCAGTAGCAGCGGCCTCTCAATGGGGAAACATAATTTGATTGGTCCTTTTATGGTGTTATTATTATGCTACCTAGTTTTGACGTTTTGCATTTTTTGTTTGACAAGTAATCCATGTGTTTTTTGGGTCAATGTTTCACAAAATTTTCTTCATGCGGAAAGTGAATGATGTTGGAGAGGAAAGGATACAAAGTGTGACCTAAAAGCATAGACTAGTCACTAGTGTTTTTAGCCTCTATAACTATATGCTTAGCTGGATGGGTGTTTGCAAGACATGACTTGACAATGACGTTTTGTTTTTATTTCCCCAACTATGACAAATGAGTACAAAGTACTATATGTGTTCAGATTTAAACTAAAATAAAATGAGAATGCTATTTACACCTTTATACGGGTATCTAACTCTTGAAAATTTATAATTGTCTTTATGTGTATGAAGATGGATTTTAGGATTGTCTCCACTATGTATTCACACTCCAGAGTGAGTAGTTTAATCTGCACCCTTCAAATCTCATCAACATTTCATTTTATTGTTTTTTTAATTACTTTTTTCTTTATCTCTCCTCAATGAATGGTCGATAGTCTATTGGAGAAAAAATTGAGAGAAAAACACGGGAGAGAATCCCCTCTCATATGATGATACATATTCGAACGTATTCAAAATCATTTTAGAATTTGCTATTTTGATATTCATTCTTCATTTTGAATAAAATATAATTTGGAGATGTATTTTTGTATGTTATTTGAGTGTATTTGGAAATGCAACTCCAAAATGTCTCTTGAATGATTTCCGCACTATTGTTTTAACATTGTAATTTTTTGAGGTCGAGCTATATTTAAGTAAACTCAAATAATATTAAAGTAAAATGAAAGTTAAAAGCCATACATTAATTCAATTAAATCAAAAAAGTCAAGATATGTCGTATTCCAAATTTGTCGTATCTATCTTGCAATTTCACTTGACTCATGCTTTCTAGTTCATCTACCCTCTACACATTCATTTTCATTAGGATGTTCATTCATTTACATGCATGCATTGATTCAAAAGTCCATAAAATAGTGGATTTCAATTGTATGACTCAATTAGAGTTTTTAATCAAACAATTAGGGTTTGATGGCCATTCACTACTTGTGCAATATATGATGAAGTCTCTTGGATGAAGGCGTTGTTCAATGACAAATCTTATGATACAAGAGTATTTGTAGTGCTTGCTTATGAAAAAGAAGGTTTTGTGACATTGTTGACTTTTGGATTAAAATCAACTGTGCAATTGACTTTTGACCCATATCTTGAAAACATTATCTTCAAATTTAATCATGACCGTTCACTTTGATACACATCATGAGGAAAAGAAACATTTGAAAGTCATGGTTGACTTTTGATCAACTTTTGACTTTTGGTCAAACACTTGACCAAGTCTTATGAATTCCCTTTTTGACTAGCTACTACTACTTGATCAAGAGTTTTCAATTGGCGTTATTCATTGAAGTTATAAAGATGAGATTCATTTTCTCTAACACGTAAGTTACTTGAGAAAGTCAAAAGTTATAATGAAAAAGTCAACATTTCAAAACAAAGCTCCAAAATTCAACACAAAAGTCAAATTACATTACAAGATGCATTACAATTGAAAACTACACAAAAAAAAATTACATATTTGACCTAAAGTGGACTTTTGGTCAACTATTGACTTTTTATTCAAACAGTTGACCAAAGTCTTTATACTAATCAAAAGATCTATTTCCACCGAGTTTTTCAACATTCTCATGCTTCCATCTTCCTTTCATCTTGCTTTGGACCAAAGTCATGTATGCACATCCAAAAGGCATGTTTGGACCTCCATGACTATGTACCATAGCCAAACACTGCGTAACCTGCAAAAGACACATATCAGTCCTACATCACTGCATATGGCTTCAAGCATAAATCATTGTCACATAACCATGTACAAAACCTGCTGCATCATCAAAACCAGACCTGCAAACAATGGTATCATCATGTTAACAGATTCACAAACCTAAAAAAAGAGGGCATATCATCATCAAAAACCAAAACCTCACCAACTCAATGTCCATTCAAAGTAAATCAATACCATATCAGTTCCCACATTGTATAACTTGCTGCAACATGAACATTGGCATACACATGTATGGCTCTTGCTTACAAGATGCATCATGACCACAATGTTCAGATACTCACAGTATTGATACTATCAACTAGCAGTCCAAAATGAAAATATCAGTTCATTAATCATCAATACTTGTGCATACATCATCCATACAAGTATTTCAAGTATGGCATCAGTTCATAAAAGTGCATCCCTATCAAAACTCGTCGCATATTCTAGCTCAATGACAGGTCAGAGACAAAGGTCAATAAACAATATTGAACATGACACAAAGATCATTTACGAGGCAGGTTCATCATGTACATACATCAAACAATTCATGGAAGACACACAAACTGAATCAGGGCCAGAAACACTGAACCAAAACGGTATACATCTCAAGCTTTGCAACTCAAAGCCACACATTCAGTTCATTCATTCAAAAATCATTACACAATAATCATGTCAAATTCAATTTCAAGTCAAAATGGCATGTAATTAAAACCAAAAGGCATCATGTCAGTTCACATCCAAGTTTATTCAAGCATATCAATCAGCAACTGCCAGCTAGCATAAGAACCCTTCAACCAACGTTTCTTCTAACAAGTCCTTCACTAACTTCCACCTCAAGTTAGCAACTAACCTCTAACAACCTCTTCCAACTAACTAACTGGCAGCTGCCATGTGTCCACAAGTGAAAAGACCATTTTAACTGCACATTCTCCTTTCCCTCCAAACGGGCATTCAAATCTCATAACTACTAATTTCTACCCATTAAACTAACTATAAAACATATCCCAACAAACTCTCAATTGATTCCAGCTGGCATAACTAACACTGCCACGTATACCCAGGCCAAATGACCATTCTAGCCTCCATTTCTCATTTCCCTCCAATTCACTTTCAAACTAAACTAACGTAAACATCAAATAACTAATCTCACAACAAACTTGAGACAAGTCCCAAAAAAACACAAAAATTAACTTCTCATCAAGCCTCATTCACCCTTGATTAAATCATCACTTGGATTGCAATCCAAGGGTGGATATTGATTCATTCCTAACTGTTGTAACTAACTCTCCCTCTCAAAGTTCTCTATTGAATTAAATTTAAACCCTAGCTTCTTACTTCAAGCAAAATTCTGACCTTAGCAAAGCTCTATCTAAATTTACCCCTAAACTCACGTAAAGCTCCTTTAAAATATTTCATTAAAGCTTCAATGGAGTAGAGCTCAAACCTCCATCATCTTCATCCTATCAAGTTCATTATACTCTAATCTCTGAACTATCTACCTGTCGTAACCGACAAAAAATATGAGAGTCGCCAACACTACATTTTGTCTTAAGGACGAGAAAGAACGGATAAACCCTAATTGTTTAGAGATTCAAAGTTCGCGAGTTGGTTAGATAAATGGAAGGTGTTAGACACTCTTTATCTCCCTTGTTCTCAAGAGACTCCTCTTTTAGGTTTCAGGGTAAATCGAGAATTTCTATTTAACTGCATTGTTTCCATATGTATAAGAAAAATGTTTAATTTTTTAATTATGAATTCGCTTTGGTTTTAACTGCTTGCCTACGTATCTCCTTGCAAAGAATCAGAGTCCAAATTTGTAGTTTGTATGTTTGGTTAGTGTTTTTTTATGGATTGTGGAAATATTTTAGAATTATCCTTGAAACTTGTCTGAGTTTGAAAAATAACGTAGTCGTAGGCACAGTTCGCAGTTAATTTAGAAAATATATCCACAATCCTTTTTGAAAATAATATTGGATTGAATTTAAGTTAGTAAAAAATATTAAATTTGATGGGTTAGATGTCTTGAATGCATGTAAGAACTGGGGTTGAATTTAAAACTAACTCTAAAATTTATCATATTTTTTTAAAACTATTTTAAAAAAAGTGAAATCATAAAGTAATTTAGTTTGACGCATATAAGAACTGGGGTATCTTATATATTCTTGCTAACATATATTTTACTAATAAAATAATATTAAACTAATAAAACAATTTCAATTATATGAGTTCTTTCAATTTCAATTTCAACTCTATGTGAAGTGCTTTCAATTTCAGCACTATAAGTGTTATTACGACAACCTCACAAACCAAAATTTATAGCTCGATTAATTGTATAGGAACATATTTTCTCTCAATCAATACATGCAATACTCATTGTGACATTTACACAAACAGCTTACATGCAAAACTCATTGTGACATTTTCAGAAACACCTTACATGCAAAACCACATGCCACACAGAACACAACATAATACAACATTATCAACACTAAATCAACACTATCAACTAAACCAAATGCAACATTATATATCAATATTATCAAATATATCAAAAATCATACCTAGAGGAGAAAAGAATCTTGGTTGTGAATGGAAGAAAGGATGAAATGGTCTTAAATAGAAGAAGGATGAGAACCTTGAATAATGTGGAACAAATAGAATCGATTTCGTTTATAATCAAACAAAAAAATGGAACTTAATCGCTGGTGAGGGTTCGTACTGTGCTGGGCATGAAAGGTTGTATTGCTCTTTTCTCTTGCTGTAATAGTCTAGCAAGTTCTCCTGGTACTTCACAATCTTTCTTACCTTCGTCCTCGACTTGGTAGATCGGATTTTCAAAGTCATAACTGGAAATAGCATAACTGTTATCAATTGGATCCGGGGTGGATGTGGATCTGCAATTTGATATGTGGGTGTCTG